CTTAATTGCTTCAAACTATTCTGTTTCAATAATAGAATAGAATATGAGGGGACAGCTTTTTTGTAGCAATTGTCCAGAGATTGTGGCTGCTCATAACATATTACTGTACATCTAATTTTTTCAAAACACTTTTTGTTAGGTATTGATTGTTTAATCAATGACCTGAGGGTGTGTTTGATGAATGTTTTTATGACTTCATTACAGAGGTGTGCACAATATTTTGACTTGACACATCACTCAGCAGGTTATGTTTGTCCTTTTCCGCATGACTTACACACAACAAATATGTGCAAGGAGGATTACGGCTTTGGATCTGTATCTGAACGTCTGTTTGTGGGTTTAAATTGATGACATTATAAGCTAAATATTCTGGCAGACTCTTTTATTTTCCATTTTATGAATTCCCTGCTGAAAAATCCAGCTAAAACCAGCCAAGGCTGGTTGGCTGGTTTTGGCTGGTCTCCCAGCCTGGTTAGTTGGTTTATCAGGCTGGTTTTAGAGGGGTTTTGAACACTTTTTCAGCTGGTCAGGCTGGTCTTAGCTGGTCAAGTTGGTATACCAGGCTGGGAGACCAGCTTGACCAGCTAAGCCAGGCTGGGTGACCAACTAAAACCAGCTACTTCCAGCTTAAACCAGCTAAGACCAGCCAACCAGCCTAGGCTGGTTTTAGCTGGATTTTTCAGCAGGGTTGTTGGCCTCAAGATACTAACTTGTGGCCTCAAGATGTTAACTCGTAGCCTCAAGATAGTATCTCGTGGCCTCAAGATAGTATCTTAGTATCTTAGTATAGTATCTTCAGGCCACGAGTTACTATCTTGAGGCCACGAGATGCTATGTAAAGGCTACAAGTTACTATCTTGAGGCCACGTGTTACTATCTTGATGCCACGTGTACTATCTTGATGCCACGAGTTACTATCTTGAGGCCACAAGATAGTTATAATTATTATTATTTATTTTTTTTTTGACAAAGTGGGACTAGGGGGGCTCCATACAATACAGCTTTCAGATTTCAAATCAGCTTTACAGAGATAACAGAAAAATAATGCAAAAAGTTTTTTCCCTGAAGAAAATAGTGCCACAGTCCAGATTAAGTAAGTTCAGTGATGTTTAATTTTTATTTTAAAAAAAGTTAGCTCTGGAGTAAACTTTCATCATGGATTTTATCGTTCCATCTGGTTGAAGATCGGAATCACGCTGGTATGGAGATGGGTTTGTTGAGGATCAGTACGGATGGTTGTCGTTCCAATGAGCCCTTCACAGGGGAGAGTCTAGTTGACACAATCTAGGTGCAGGTCCTCCATCTGGTCTGGATACGGCCCGGATACGGCTGACTTTATTTTGCGTTGTGGTCATGTCTAGGCATACATCCTTCATCTGGTCTGGATACGGCCTGGATCCAGCTGATTACAGTAAACCTCATAATAAGCAGAAAGACTAACATTAGCGTAGATGCCATTCTTATTCTTATGATGCAACGAGTATATCGGGTGTCATAGGAAGTGTTCCCGGATTTCGGCCAACCTAATTTATGCAGCCTAATAATCATTTAACGGATTTGAATAATAGGAATGTATAATTTTCTATGTGTATCCCAGGTTAAAGAGATGTGTTTAGCTTTGAACCCACAAGAGTATGTCTGCTTCCCGGACAATGTTAGGAAGACTATTCCAGAGTTTTGGTGCTAAATAGGAAAAGGATCTATTGCCAGCAGTCGATTTTTATATATTATTATATATTACAGTTTTGAGAAACAATTGTACATAAATTACATATAAAAATATCAGTTTATGACATTTGTTGTGTCTGTATTTATCTGTCTTAGTAAAATTATTTTAAATGCTTAGTTTTATTATCAAAGGTCTGTAGTTTTTATGGCTCTAGATATTGCAATATATAATGCAATTCAATACAAAAAATAATTAAGAGATGCTTAAAATTGAGATTATCAAATATGATACATCAGGCTTTTGAGAACTCACATTTTAACATATATAAATTATGTATTATCAAGTAAACCTAGGTTGCTTCATGCTTCAATGAGTGTTGTTCATCTTGAAATATTACTAACAATATAAAAGTTATTATTCTCAAAATTACTTTATAAAGGTAACTGTCAAGATTTCACTGCACAAAGACTAAAACCCCCTTTGCTTGTCAAAAAGGCAATTTCAGCAACATTTCGATTACGTTGAAGAGGCCTTAGAAAGTTGTGTATCAAAATGGTATTTATGTAGTAGGCTTTACGGTTATGAACCAGTGTGTTTTTTTAGGCTTTTTCGTTAAAGGGATACTCCACTTTTTTTGGAAATAGGCTCATTTTACAACTCCCCCAGAGTTAAAAAGTTGAGTTTTACCATTCGGCCAATTTTCTGATATTTAGAAGAATATCAGTAACCAGACAGTTTCTGGTCTCATTGACTTCCATAGTATATATTTTTTTCCTACTATGGAAGTCAATGAGACCAGAAACTGTCTAGTTACTGATATTCTTCTAAATATCACAAAATAGGCTGAATGGATTCGAAAATGTTAAAACTCAACTATTTAACTCTGAGGGACTTGTAAAATGAGCCTATTTCCAAAAAAGTGGAGTATCTCTTTAAGAAACAGAGAGACGTGTTTGAATAAAAAAAAAATAAAAAAAAACAACAACAGAAGAATGTGTCCAAATGCCTCACCACCCTCTATGGTCTCTTTAAAATGACCTGTAAATGTTTAATGATTCTCAGGGTTTCTACAAACCATAGATTTGGAAGGTTCTTGTTGGGTAAAATGTTCCTTTAGGTCTGTGGTGATGATTGTCAAGCATATACAGTTTTTGCCCATTGCTATAACACATTTTGCAAAATTTCGCTCATTGTGCCAAAACTCTACACACAAGTAAACGTGACACAACACTGGGAAATATACCATTCGCATCTGTGTCAAATTGAAACTCTTCGATCAAAACCTAACATTCCTTTGTCAAAATGTAACTCTGATAACAAAATGACACATACTTGCACCTTATGCTAACAATTTCAGATCAGAGGGAACACACTAGTCTACTTTATATAAAACACTGCCGTCTTTGATTTTGACTGTTTATTCAGAAGGCATATTTTCAGGAGGCACATTTTCAAACAACCAAAAAAGCAAACAGGCCTACTCAATATTGTACATCACTGTACATTGCAGTAAGATAAATTCAGATAAAGCAAAAAAAAAAAATATATATATATATATATATATATATATATATAATAAAAAAAACACTATATATATTTTACATACATTATGGAGAGCATCTAGAAATGTGAGTATATGTTGGCTATTGTATGCACTATAGCATCTATTACTGCACTATAGTGCTACACATACCCTAAACGAACCCTCACCCCATCACACAGGTACCTGTGTAGCTCTCCAAATGGATCCATGTGGTCCTGATATGGTACATATTCAGCTGGTACTGGATTTCACCAATACTGTATTGTACATGTAAAGGACAGTTACACTTATCCATATATAAGTCCTTTGACCCTGTCACTGTTCCTCTCAAATGGGACTCTGTAGAGCTGCTTCATGGTGATGCTGTGTTTCCCCAAGATGCATCTGATGGTGATCCTCACATGGTTTATGTTGTTGAACACTATTCTGTCTGCGAGTATTTTCTGGTGGAGACGGATGGCATTGTCTGCCCTCACTAGGTCCACAATGGCGAGTTCCTTTTGTTGTGTGAACAGTCATTGGCGTCCTCTCCCAAAAGGTCTTCTAGTCATTGATGTGATATACACTACAGTGCTGTAAATACCATCTGAGTGGAGTAGAAGGTAGAGAGGTGAAGACATACCTGTTTTCTAGTCGGAATGTTATAGATGTCATTGTGAAGCGGCTTACTGTAAATGTGTCTGGACTCTCTGCCCAGCCTCCCTCATCGTCAGGCCATGGGTGATTACATGGTCCACCAAAGTTGATCTTACAGTATATCATCAGAGTCCGTGCATGTCCTCTTCGACCTTGACCTCCTCCTCCTCTTCCTCTTGCTCTCCCTCCCTCTATCCATGCTTGCAAAGTTCTTCAAATGGCTAAACTGAGGGCTTTTTGTAGTTGGCTGATTGGTGTTCAGTTTTGCAATAAAGTGCCTTCGGATGTGAATTTGAGTGGTTGCAATAACCCAATGTGTTTTGTATTTTGAATACAAGTGTTTTCCAAATGGCACCCTGAGATTTCTCTTTTGAACAAAGTGTCTTATGTATGAAATAGAGTGTAGTATGAAGAACCAAGTGTGTTGCATAAAGGAGTAAGTGTGTTGCAGAATTGCAACTAGAGTGCAAAGCAACGCTTTTGTTTAAAGTATGGGTACATGTGTTTGAGGCATGGTAACAAAAGCTTCAAGTTGTGTTACTTTAGTCTAAGCATGGGTCTATAGTGTTCAAGCAATGGGCAAAAACTGTAATATATCAGAGAATTTTCAAACTTTACAAACATATAAGGTTGTGGATGTGGATGTCTCTGGATTGGCTGAGATTTCGAGATCCCCGGATAAGATCAGACTGCCTGATTTCAGCCGAAGTGTGTGTGGATGTGATGCAGTTGGGTCCTGCAGTAAAATACATTAAAATAAAACATTTATTCAGTTTTATTTACCTTTTTTTCTTCATAAATCACACATCTCATAATTCATCTCAGGCATGCTCTTCTTGATGAAACTTTAAGGCCAAAATTGTTTGTTTTGGTGCAAATGACAGTCAGAAAAACTGATATAAATCTAATATACTGTAAATTTGACAATGGTTTTCATTGGTGTTCATTTCACTCCTCCTTAAGACCATCATAATTAATAAAGAATATTTTCTATAATATTTTAAGATGGAATTGTCTTGTTTAACAATGCAAGTCTGAGGAAAAGTAAATATATAAAACAAAATTGAATGTAGAAGTTCAGAGAAACATGCTTGAAAATGAAAATTGTTTCCTACTTCTAATCTTCTACATCTGCTCTCTGTCTTTCTGTAGGACATTGATGAGCTGATGCACACAGACAGACCGGACTGGCAAAGTGTAATGCAGTATGTGGCTCAGATCTATAAGTACTTTGAGACTTAATGTGTAATTGGAAGAAATGAAGAAGAAAGAAAAAGAAGAAGAGGCACAGAAGCACTTTTTTTTTTTTGGCCTGGTCCAGTTCTTCCTTCACAGCCAGTGATTCTAATTAAAAACAGACAGACACAGTTCTGTAGTGTTCACACTATCAGGTTCTCACTCTAAATGCAAGAAATATCATATAAGTCCAATAGTCATGCATACACAAACTCATTCAAGCATCAAACATCTTCTGTTTCCTTACAATTCATGTCTCATATGATCCTTACTCAGTTTCTGAAGTTTGAAGTTGCTTGCAGAGTGTAGGTTTGTAATCTTACAATGAAACTGGTATATAGTTTTTTTTAGTATACTAACTTTTGCTAAGAGGTCAAGTGCATCTTTATAAATTATTATTACCTAAATCTATATATTGGCATACTTATATATTGATATACTTAAAGTATTTTTAAAATTTTAGTTCCCTATCGTAGTCACTTCGAGTTACGTCAGAAGTGACGGAGATTGGGGGTTTCGCATAGAAAGCCAATCCTCTTCGAGTATTAAAACACGAGCCAATGGCATGCAATGCCTTGGGGCTGCGGAAATTTGCATAGCGTACTCCGCCCTACTCCGTGAGTATAAAAGGAGGAAGTGAACGCAACCGCAGTATGTTTTCGCTTCGGAGCCAAGAGAACCTCTTCACTCCTGAAAGCACTGTTCAAGACTCTTCGAGACGAGCGTCCTCTTCAGTGTTGGTGTGACGGCGGTACCCAGCGAGATTCTGCATCGCCTGCGATCTGAGCAGTGGTCTGCCAGACTTTGCGCTTCTCCCTGGTCGCTTCAGCGCTGAAAGAGTGAATTTCCTCCTCTCATTGAAAGAGCTGCACGCGCACGTCTTTTTAAAGACGGTTCGCCCGTGCTCTTCTGGGTGTGATTGATTTCTGTCGTCATCTGATGGTCACGATCGCTGCTTTGTATGCCTGGGCATTTCAGCATGCAGCAGCAGCGTTCGTGGATGACTCATTTTCCTTCTGTGGGAACATGACCATCTCTACACTGAGGTCGAGACTCAATGATCTCACTTGAGTGAGAGTCCCGGTCCCCCCCGCTCGATCGGTTTCCTCCATAGGGGGCCCGTCGACCCGGGGACCTGGTGATTTACGGTGATGGTGTGGGATAAGCCCCGACGATTCCTCGGGCCACACCTCCCGCCTCAGTGCGAGAGCCAGCGAGCGTTAGTTCGATTCAGTCGGTTGCTTCTTCGGTGGCACCGGCTGCTTCGGGCAGCGCTCCAGATGATGATGCGATGTCGATCACAGCATCACTAGGCGGGCTTGACTCCTCGGGAAGTGAGGATGCGGCCGCGTTGCCTCCCTCGGGAGCGTCAGCGCCGCCGTGTCTGATCCCGCGATGATGGCCGTGCTATCTCGGGCGTCCGTGAGCATCGGGTGGGGGTGGAACTCCGCCCCTCCCCGATCTCTCGCGGCTGAATAATTGGTTTTTGGGTAACGCTGCCGCCTTACGGCCACGGCCAACCCCAATTTCCTTTTTTCCCCGAGTTGCATGCGGAACTGACACGCACTAAAAAATAAATAAATAAAAAAAAAAAAAAAAAAAAGCGTGCTTAGTTCCCCGCCCTTCCTCCCCTCGGCGATGCGGCTGTCTGTGGGTACGCTGGGGCTCCCCCGGTCAACCGGCGGTTGCTCTCAGATGCCCCTCCAAAGCCTATGGGTTCTCGTCGTCTATGGCGGCGCGATTCTGTAGAGCGGCGGGACAGGCAGCCTCCGCCCTGCATATGATGAGCACCTACAAAGCTAGCTGCTCAGGAATGTGCACGAGGAGGTGACGGACCAAGCGAGCTGCGAGCCTGTCGCCTACCTTGTCCTTAAACGGGTCACGGAGGCGGTCGCTCGCTCCCTTGGTCAGGTGATGCCCACCGCTGTGGTCCAGGAGCATCATAATGTTCGGCGGTGCGGTCCAGGACTTTGCCCAGCACTTCTCGACCGCCTAGGAGCAGACGAAGGCGGTTTCTCTGCCCCGACGGCCAGCTGCTGCCTCCAACCAGCCGTCGGCTCGGACGCCTCCGCCAGCTCGCCGCCGAGGACGCCCCCCTGCGGCTCCCTTCCCTCCCACGCGGCCCCAGCAGCAGCCTTCAGCCGGTTCGCGTCGCGGAGGAGGCCACAGGTAAGCGTCCCAAGAAAAGAGCCCCCCCTCAGGCCGCGTGCCCCGCTAGATGCCAGGCGAAGCGATGTTCCTGAGGCGGGCCGCTCAGTGATAGTGTCATGGTTTTTCTCAGGAGGCGGTGGCAGGGCCCCTCCTTCCCCGGTGGAGGGCCGGTGGAGAATCTTTTGTTCTAGCTAGCTCCCTGAGCTGGTTGAGGAAAAGCTGACACTGTCATTGAGCACACAGACTGGAATGAGCGCGCACGACGTCCAGTGCGTCGCCCCGTTCATTCCTCTCTGTCTCGGAGGGCGCGGAAGGGTGCGTGTGTCGTCCCCGGGCTACGCCAATCCCTTCCCCCTCTGTCGCCAGACCCCCGGCAGAACAGACCCCCGTGGAACGCTCTGCCTTCCCTGGTCTCTTCTGTCGGGGAGCGGGTTTCGACGGTGCATCCGGACGGGGTAACTCCTGCACGCATGCCGGTCGACCCGCCTCGCTGCCCCTCCGGGGGGACGTCTGTGGTTCGCATGACCCCGTTGGCTCACTTCCTGGAAGCCTGGCTAGCGCTTCCCGGGGTTCCCGCTGGGTCATCAGAACGATCGGATTCGGCTACGCGATTCAGTTCGCACGGTCTCTTCCCCGCTTCAGGGGAGTTCGCTCCACGATGGTTGGTGGCAATGCCCCAGTCTTGAGAGCGGAGATTGCGACCCTGCTGGCGAAGGGTGCAATCGAGACGGTCCCTCCAGCCGAGGTGAGGTCCGGGCTTTACAGCCCCTACTTCATTGTCCCCAAGAAAGACCGGTGGGTTACGACCGATCCTGGACCTGCGCATTTTGAACCGTTCTCTCCATCGACTACCGTTCAAAATGCTCACGGCCAAACGCATTTTCGAATGTGTTCGGTATCAGGATTGGTTTGCAGCGATCGACCTGAAGGACGCGTACTTCCATGTCTCCATTCTCCCTCGACACAGACCGTTTCTTCGGTTTGCCTTCGAGGGCCAGGCATACCAGTACGCCGTTCTCCCATTCGGGTTAGCTCTGTCCCCTCGCGTCTTCACGAAGATCGTCGAGGCAGCCCTTGTTCCCCTTCGCGAACACGGGGTTCGCATCCTGAACTATCTCGACGACTGGCTGTTACTAGCACACTCTCGAGCTCAGGTTTGCGAACACAGAGACCTGGTGCTACGGCACCTAGCCCGTCTGGGCCTTCGGGTCAACCGGGAAAAGAGCAAACTTTGCCCCGTGCAGAGGATCTCTTTTCTCGGCATGGAGATAGACTCGGTCGCCATGTCCGCGCAGCTCACGAACGAGCGCGCGCACTCACTGCTGGCTTGTCTTCGACAGTTCGAGGGCAAGAGTGCGGTTCCACTGAAACTTTTCAGAGGCTCCTGGGGCATATGGCATCCGCGGCCGCGGCAACGCCGCTCGGTTTGCTTCATATGAGACCGCTTCAGCTGTGGCTTCGCGATCGAGTCCCGAGGTGGGCATGGCATCGCGGCTCGCTCCGAGTTCCAGTGACTCCGACGTGCCGCCGATCCTTCTTCCCGTGGTCGAACCTCAGCTTTTTACGGACAGGGTCCCTATTCAGCGAGTTTCCAGGCATCTCGTTGTCTCCACGGATGCGTCTACCACGGGTTGGGGTGCCATGTGCAATGGGCATGCAGCCGCCGGTTCCTGGACAGGAGCCCAGCGCCTCATGCACATCAATTGCCTCGAGCTGTTGGCAGTACGGCTCGCCCGGCACCGCTTCCGAGCGTGCTCTAGGGCCAGCATGTGCTTGTCCGCTCAGACAACACTACGGCAGTAGCGTACATCAACCACCAGGGGGGGTCTACGCTCGCGCCGGTTGTCGCAGCTCGCCCGCCACCTCTTGATATGGAGTCAGAAGCACCTGAGGTCCCTTCGTGCAGTTACATTCCTGGAGACCGGAATCGGGCAGCCGCGAGCTGTCCCGGGCCCGTCCCATCTCCGGCGAATGGCGACTCCATCCCCAGTCGGTCCAGCTGATTTGGGACCAGTTCGGGGAGGCACAGTTAGACCTGTTCGCCTCTCGGGACTCGTCCCACTGCGCCCAGTTATTCTCTGACCCGCGGCTCTCTCGGCTCGGATGCGCTGGCGCACAGCTGGCCACGGGGCCCACGCAAGTGTGCGTTCCCCCAGTGAGCCTCCTTGCACGGGTGTTGTGCAAGATCAAGGAGGACGAGGAGCAGGTCTTGCTGGTAGCCCCCTACTGGCCCACCAAGACGTGGTTCTCCGAACTCTTGCTCCTCGCGACAGCACCTCCTTGGCCTATTCCTCTGAGACCGGACCTACTCTCTCAGAGACGGGGCACTCTGTGGCACCCTCGTCCCGATCTTGGAGGCTGCACGTGTGGCTCCAGGACGGGACGAGGCAGGTTTGAGTTCGCTGCCACCTGCGGTGGCGGCAACCATCACTTCCGCAAGAGCGTCGTCCACGTGACACCTTTATGCGTTGAAGTGAAACCTCTTCGTCAATTGGTGTTCTTCTCGCTGAGAAGACCCCCGGAGATGTTCGATCGGAGTCATGCTTCCTTCCTGCAAGAGGGGTTGGAGCGCAGGCTGTCGCCCTCCACCCTTTGGATTATGTCGCGGCCATTGCCGCGTCTCATGATGCAGTGAAAGGTAAGTCTATGGGAAGCATGACCTGGTCATCAGGTTCCTGAGGGGAGTGAGGGGGCTAAATCCGCCTCCCTCCCCTCCTGCCCTCTGGGGACCTCTCAGTAGACCTGGGTGCTCTGCAGAGGCCTCCCCTGGAGCCTTTGCAGTCGGTAGAGTTTTTGCCCTGTCCTATGTGACAGCACTCCTGATTGCATTGGTATCCATCAGGAGAGTAAGGGACCTGCACGCACTCTCTGTTGACGAAGTGTGCCTGGAGTTCGGGCCGGCTTACTCTCACGTATTCCTGAGACCCCGGCCTGGATATATGCCCAAGGTTCCTACCACTCCCCTCCGGGACCTGGTGGTGAACCTGCAAGCG